TTACAGCGAATGCTTCGATTCGTTGCACGCGGCGCCTTAGGCGGAAATCGAACCCGCACATATCGCTTGTCGAAGCAGTTGTAGTACTGAATACATCAGCATCACAGTACCATTTCACCTTGACTCATCTTCCAGAAACGTAATCATCATTATCACCCAGCATCACGTTGAGAATTTAGCCATGCAAACTGAAAAGTAGAAATTAACAAACAAAGCGTCATTGATTGGAGGGATTTCTTTATCTAGGTACATCGTCAATCGAGATGCTCTGTTCTCATTTCACAAAGCATCTGAAGCATTTCTGCAACAAATCATGGCCATCTATGTTGCCGCTCACTACAAGAACTCACCAAATGATTTGCAGGTACATAGTATGAATAATTCCTGCAATGGTCCAGGTTCAGCTGCTTAATCTTTCAGATGCTTAGCGATGCACCAGCTCATCACCTTTTCGTTCTGATGTCACCTGTGAAAGAAGATCAGTCTTCGTTACCGGAGGTACGTTCTTTTGTGTGCTCATATAGGCTTTCAAACTATTCTTATTATTTCATTTTGGCTACCGCTACTTTGTAACTGGAACTTGAAGGTTCAAACATATCAGATGTAATTAATGTTTTGCAACTTTAAATGGGATTTGGTTCCAGGTGCTTGCATTAGCGCAAGTTTGTCTTGAGGGTAATCTATCGAAGGAATCCGTATCCGGAGCAATGGACAAAGGAAAACGAGCAGCTGGTGATTTACTTCCGTGGACGATTTCTCAACACTTCATGGTGTGTTTTCCGTAGAAAATGTTGACGTAATGATAAGTCGTCTTGGTCGCCTTGCCTAGGTGGTTTGAAAATCTTTATTTTGCTTTAGGATCGCGATTTCCCGACATTGTGCGGTGGACGTGTGGTCAGAATTGCAGTTCATCCTGACTTCCAGTCAATGGGTTACGGTTCTCGTACACTTGAACTCTTAGAGGAATATTATCTTGGTCATGTACCGTCAATTGATGAAGGTGTTAAAGAATCTGTAAAGACTGTGAAGGTGACTTCTTATTCGGTTATGATCAACGTGTATCAAATTTTAATTCTAATATTCAAATCGTTTTCAGGATGGGCACACAGTAGCATTGTTAGAGGAACAAATAGCACCGCGAGCAGACCTCCCTCCACTTCTGAATGCGACTCACTGAGAGGAAAGCGGAACGTTTGGACTATTTAGGTAAGATTTCATTTCTTTGGTTTTGATTAGTGTGGGCTTTTGTGGAGGTCGGGATAGGTTTTCCCATATAACGAGATCTTAGACCGATAAAGCGATTTGTTCCAGGAGTGTCATTTGGTTTAACGCTGAATTTGTTGAAGTTCTGGAAGAAAAGTGGTTTTGTGCCGGTGTATCTACGTCAGACTCCTAGCCCACTTACTGGAGAGTATACATGTGCTATGTTGAAGCGACTGGATGGTGGGTTTTTCAAGAAGCATTCTGGGTTTAATGGGAAGTTTCATCTTAACACCTATTAACGCACACCAACGACGTCATATGACGTCACCAAAAGTTCCAAATCGTTTTAAAAATATGACAATTTTTTCATTTGCCGTCTGGGTCAGTCCACATAATATTTCA